ACTGTATAGATTTCCCTATCTCCCTAGACCCCAAACCCTGTTTATTGGGAATTTTCCTGATTCAGATACTGACAAATATCTGACTATGTTTCTACATGAAACTTTGTTTAGCGCCAGAAAACTGGTAGCTCAACATGATGTCCCACATTGGAAGAGTGGATAACAGAAATTAATGCCACCCTCCCCCTAAAGAAATTTATATATGTCAATAGAGGCTGCCCATCAAATACAATACAATCTGGGTTCACTGGCTGCAATCTGCTGACACCAGTACATAGACAATGTTTTATACTGGATACATATTCGCCTTTTTATCACTCGAAAAAAGCCATCCCACAGTGTAATGGAACAAATTCACAGTTTCCTCTATGAGCAAAGCCAATATCCAGCCCTGGGGTTATACATATTTCCCTGCTTGTTATTTTCTTGGGCAGTGGTCCCCTCACTGCTCCCTGTAAGTTCCCCTGCCTCTGAAGCCTATGAGAGAGGACCTGGCAGCTCGAAGTGCTGCCTCTACCAATAGAGGTATGCACATCAAGGGAACAGTGATGTAGACACTTGAAGATGGACCCCAGGTGGTACACAGAAGAACTGAGAAGGATCATCATGTGGCAGTTAAGTAAAAATGGGTATTCAGATTTTTTCTTTCTTCATACTAGCAGTTAGAGGATGGTTGGGGGTTGCAAACATCCTGGAGCTGGGCTTTAAGTCTTACCCAGGGTTTAAAATAGTGAATATTCCCGTCATTAGCAGCACTGTAGTGTTTTTATTGTTGTCTGTGTGCCTGCTAGGTAGATTCATCCTCTCTGATTGTCCTTGTGACCACTGTCATGGAGACAGAAAATTATGGGAAATCCAATGTTTTTCAGTTTTCTCCAAAATAAGAGGTTAGTAGAAAACTTCCAACGTTGACACCTGTTCCTGTGACATCTGTGTAAAAAGGGAATTAAACTCCCCTTGTAGTTATTTGCTCTCACTTCCTGTTACATCTTTGGAAAGAAATCTTCCCAATTAAACACAGACTACCAAAAATAAAGTCTCAAACCAGTTCAGCGGGGGAATTCAGGTGTCAGAGATACAGCCTTGTGAAAAAAGTCCCTGTTATTTCTCCACAAAACAGACAATGTGACTTACCTCTGCATAGGGGCAAAACAACAGAAATAAATTCGGCACACAAGGAAGAATAGGAAAAAAAATCCCAATTGAAAAGTGGCACTAAAGGCAGAACATTTTTTTTTTTTTACGCTAGAATAACTTTATTAACAAAAAGGTAAAAGAAGGTACAGTTGCACAACAGATTGCACAGTACGTAATAAACACTCTAGAACCGGGATGAGTCCAATAAACATTTGAGAGAGCAAGAAAAAAACAGACAATGGGCACAGCATTGTTCAAACAAGATGACAAGAACATCAGATACTCTATACCAGGATGTAGGCTGGTAAAAGAAATTCTGTAAGGAGGGACGGGGCAAATCAGTCACAAGTACCCCTGCTCAATTAAGGCACACGTAGTGGGTGTATCAAGCCATCTATCCCACATTTTGTTATATTTCATGGGGCAACCCTTATGTATATAAATCAATTTTTAATATGGAAGTGTCAAGTTAACTTCAATCAACCATGCCTGAAGGGTAGGAGGTGTCACCTGCATCCAATGGTGCCCAACTAATTTCTTGGCACTAAAGAGGGATTCACATAACAAGGTAACTAGGAACTCGTCCTCAGGCAGGTCCGGGAGGAGGCCAAGCAAACAAAAGGCAGAACATTTTTACCTTAAGGCATTCCAAGCATTAGGGTATAAAAATGTCTCAGTAGTTGTATCACCCTCCCACTGCCATAAATATTTGCCTGTCTTGATTGAGTGTTGTGCTTGTCTTCTGTGGCAGTGGTCTCTGTTCCTCTCCTTACAGGACACAGGGGCAGCAGCAGAAGCCATTGGCTCCTGCTGCTGTAAATCAAATTCTGTGAGGAGGGAGCGGTGTCAAGCCACATTGTGTGTGTCTATGGACACATACAATCCAGCTTGGGAGTGAGCCCACATGTCTGCCCCCTTAGCAAGTGCTTTGCTATGGGGACATAAACTGAAGAGGATGAGTGGACAGTGCTGGAGGGGGACCCCAGAAGAGGAGGTTCAGGGCTGATCTGTGAAATACCATTGCACGGAAAAGGTGAGTATGTTTGTTATTTTAGAAAAAAAACAAAACAAGCCCTTACAAGCTCTTCAAAGCCCATGCCCAGCCTCTATTTTTAAATAGTTTCTTGCCATTTAAAAAAAATAAGTTTGACGATCAGTATGTTTGCATGATTCAGTGCAGTCTCACACATTCTCCACAATACTCCAGCATCAGTCTTTATTAAAAGTTGTCAAGGACATGCCCAGTAGAGGCATGCTATCTAGCCACCCTAAGCTCCCAGTAGTATGCTGCAAAGAATGGTGCTGATGTCACTACACTGTGCCATTCTTTGTAGCATTCCGGACAGCCAACTGCTGAGACAAGAAGAAGAGGACCCTGGAACATCTGATCAACTAGAAGACTGCTGGATAAAACGTAAGTGTATAAAAGAAAGTGGGAGTTAGGAGCCACAGGGAATATTGTGGGTGGTGTTAAAAAGCTGGAATTGTGCTTTAAAGCATAATTTACAAAATTGAAAATAAAGGAAAAGAAGCCTGAAAAAAAGAAAAATTAAAGCTGTCCTAATGAAGGACTGGTAAGCTGCAATATATAACGTTTTTGTTTACGGGTTTAGACATACTTAATGGATATACGTGGTTTAACCACTTCCCACATGGCCACTGCACATAAACAGCCAGGTGGGATCTTCGCTGTTCTGAGTGGACATTCCTGAACGTCCCTCAGAGTGTGGGCGCATGCGCTTTTGGTGTGCCTGTGTTCCCTTGACACAGCGCACTGCACCACAGCAGATGGGCTCTCTGATTGGCCGTTCTGATGACATGATGGCTGTGGTCAATCACAGCCAACATGTGTTGTCAACAAGGCCACTAGTCTGTTGATCGGCTCTGCCTCTCCTCACAAAGAGCCCGCTAGTGAGGAGAAGCAGAGCCGGTCTGTGTAAAACACACACACACATCACACCATAGTGTCCCCCACACAGCTGTAAATGCACCAGTGATCCACATCTGTCACACAGTACGAGTGATCCGCATCAGTCACACAGTACCTGTGGTCATCCACAGCTGTACCAGTGATCCACATCTGTCACGGCATACCATGTAAATTCCACATCTGTAACAGTGATCCACATCTGTCACACATTACCAGTGATCCACATCTGTCACACAGTACCTGTGGTCATCCATAGCTGTACCAGTGATCCACATCTGTCACAGCATACCAATGTAAATTCCACATCTGTACCAGTGATCCACATCTGTCACGGCATACAAGAGTAAATTCCACATCTGTATCAGTGATCCACATCTGTCGCGGTGTACCAGTGTAATATACACATCTGTACTAGTGATCCAGATCTGTCAAGGCATACCAGCGTAAGATCAACATCTATACCAGTGCTCCACATCTGTCATGGCATACCAACATAAAATCCACATCTGTACCAGTGATCCACATCTGTCACAGTGTACCAGTGTAAATTCCACATCTGTACCAGTGATCCACATCTGTCGTGGTGTAGAAGTGGCATCCATATCGGTACCAGTGATCCACATCTGTCACGATGTATCAGTGCAAAATTAACATCTGTACCAGTGATCCACATCTGTCATTGTGTACCAGTGTAAAATTCACTAATGTACCAGTGAGCCACATCTGTCACAGTGTACCAGTGTAAAATGCACATCTGTACCAGTGATCCACATCTGTCACGATGTATCAGTGCAAAATTAACATCTGTACCAGTGATCCACATCTGTCATTGTGTACCAGTGTAAAATTCACTAATGTACCAGTGAGCCACATCTGTCACAGTGTACCAGTGTAAAATGCACATCTGTACCAGTGATCCACATCTGTCACGATGTATCAGTGCAAAATTAACATCTGTACCAGTGATCCACATCTGTCATTGTGTACCAGTGTAAAATTCACTAATGTACCAGTGAGCCACATCTGTCACAGTGTACCAGTGTAAAATGCACATCTGTACCAGTGATCCACATCTGTCACGGTGTACCAGTGGTCATCCACTTCTGTACCAGTGATCAACATCTGTCATGGCCTACCAGTGTCAAATCCACATCTTTCACAGTGTATCAGTGCTCATCCACTTCTGTACCAGTGATCAACATCTGTAACGGCCTGCCAGCGTCAAATACACATCTGTCACAGTTTACCAGTGCTCAGTATCTGTCACAGAGTATCAGTGTCAAATCCACATCTGTACCAGTGAACGTCAAAATCAACATCAGCAATATCAGCAGTGCAGCATAAACATGTCTAAAAAAATTATACACTAGCGAGGAGGCTTTCTAGATACTGAGTATGATGGATGAGAGTAGCGGGAAACTCTCTGTCAGACTCAGATTCTGAGTATGAGCCAGTTGAAAGCAGTGGGTCAGCAACGGATTGTGAGATGGAGAGAGTCCAAACAAAGAGGTTCAGGAGATCTGAGGAGGAGCAGACATCCACCAGTAGCGCAGTGGCGAGTACAAGCAGCGCAACACTCCCAGAAGATAACAGCAGAATGTACGAAGAAATATATATATTTTTTTAAACTTTTTGGTCTTTTTTTAATTTATAGTGCAAAAAATAAAAAAAACCCAGTGCTAATTAAATACCACCAAAAGAAAGCTCTATTTGTGTGAAAAAGGACAAAAATTTCATTTGGGTACAGTGTTGCATGAGTAATTATCATTCAAAGTGTGAGAGCTCTGAAAGCTGAAAATTGGTCAGGACAGGAAGGGGGTAAAAGTGCCCTGTATTGAGGTGCTTAAATATAAATATATAAATGTACACAAAAATAAGATGGAAATTCAGATCAATAAACTACCTTACCTAATTTATTTCAGAGGACACAATAATGAGGGTGCTGGCTGTTGCAAATGATTTCCACATTCCACAAGAGATTGAAAGGTAATGTATCTTTATAATAATAAATGCCTCATGCGGTTAATTTTACTTGTAGCTTAAAAGGTAACTCCACTTCTGTTGAGAAAAAAAAAAGCAATCCTTTCTGGGTGATCAATATACATTGCAGGGATTCTGACAAACTTTGCTCCAAATTCCTATCTGTTTCTGCTCTGTTTCTGATTCATTATAATCAGCTGGCGCACTCTCAATGTACTGATGAGAAATGTTGCAGTGTAGGCATCCCTTTGGAAGTATTCTTTTTTTTTTTACAAGTAGTTGGAATTATAATAATTCCAACTACTTGTAAAAAAAAAAGAATTACAGGCATGGGTATTTCAAACAGTTAAGTTGGTCTAGAGTGGACAATTGCAACTATATATATACCGTGGCCAATACTCCAGTGACTACCACTTGGCTACGAGTGAACACAGGAACTTGGTTCCTTGGCACGAGTGTCATTGAGAGAATGTTTTGTATTTTCTGAATGAATTCAAAGTGTTTTTTGATTGGACGAGGTGGAGAGGTGGAATTGTGATGTCATACTGGACTGGCAGGAATTTTTCTTTAACTCTTGGGGAGTATCTCATGAAGACTAAAACTAATCGCACAAGCAGCAAATTATATTTTTGGTAGCATTCAAGCCTCCAGGTTGTCATATTGCACTGAATTTTACATAAAATTACAAAGCTGCAGATTGAAAAGGAAAGATAATTTTTATAACGTTAAATCATAATATTGCTTGTGTAGCAATTGCATATTCCATATTAATTTTTCTAGTTGCTATATGCGTTTTTCTTTGAAAGTGGAGCTACCACACGATATCAAGCTGTAGAATGTGATTGGGCAATATTTGCCTTTAATTTCTTTACAGTACTTTGCTAACAGATGGCTTTATGTCTGATCTTGTTGTGTTATGGATTCTTATATGTATACTGTCTATGTTTTCTCTGAGTCATAGTTCTATTGTCTGTGTCTACACTGTGGTACTGTTACTTTTATATATGTACTTCTTTAAAAAAAAAAATTGGAAAAGAAAGTGGAGTTACCCTTTAGCAGACAATATTATTTGTAAACAAATGAACAGAAGTCTCTCCAGCCTGATGGAAAAAGATAATTCACTAATAACAGAAAACAATTTATAGATTAGGACAGGTTTCTTTTGGGTAATGTAGACAACCTGTAAAAATTCCATAAAGAAGACTCCATGTCTCTATGACAGTACAGTGATGTCATTTATTTTCTCTACCAAATAGGTTGCAGTGTAAGCGTTGCATCGTGGTTGGGAGTGGATACCGCATGAAGAACAGCTCATTGGGTGAAATTATTAATAAGTATGACATAGTGATCAGGTGAGGAAACCAGTAAGTGTATTTGATTTTATTCAAATATTTTTTAGTCCACCTCGAAAGTGAGCAAGCATGGGTGGCTACATTCCTACATGGAGTGACACCATGGAGAACAAACATAACCACCCTCTAACAGGATGTCAGATCACAGCAGCAAAAAAATTTGGAGGAGGATGAGAGCAAAAGGAGGTCATTTTTTGACTTACAAATATGTAATCGGTATTTCTTTTTAGTTAAACCAAAGTTTAACTAAACACCTGTAGGCTCCCCAGTGTGTATGCTATGCCTTATTTTTTTTAAGTGGAACTTTAATTGTAACAAAAAAAATGTGAACTGGCAGGATTTTTAATTCAGAAGAGACATACTATGGGGGTGGTTTACTAAAACTGGAGAGTGCAAAATCTGGTGCAATGCTGAATAGAAAAAAAATCAGCTTCCAGGTTTTTTGTCAAAGATTAACTGAACAAGTTGAAGTTATTTCCCGTACACACTATAAGAAAATCGGATGAACGATCGTCCGGTTATCATCGATTGTACGCTGCTGGTCGAAAGCGATGTGCTTTTATGCATGAGAATATTGTACGATATAAAAGGCACTGTGTACGAGCGTCATAGCGTAGCTGTGGAAATGTAATGTATGTGTGACCCTGTAGCCATGCCTTTCAGTGCCATATTTGTTTATTTATTTGTGGTTTTATTTTTACAACAACATGCAAACACACACATTCATTGTGATGCAGTGACATATGTAATGTTTGTTTTTTTAGGGGTTGGGTGAAGAAAACTGTTTAATGACATTAATGGCTGTAATGCTACGAATATTCCGTGGTGTTTATTCGTAGCATTACAGGGTCATAATCAGCTTCCGATTATGCGCGGTCATTCGTATCCAATTCTTCTCGTACGAAAACTGTACACATTAAATGAAAATCGTTCATTCTGTTCTCAAACGACAAACATTTTGATACTATCATTAATTTTCTTTTGTAAGATCGGAATCGGCTGCCGAAAATGATGCACGTACCGTCAGAAAATTGCATGTTTGCTCGTCGGACGAATACGTTCGTCCGATTTTCTTATAGTGTGTATGGGGCATTAGAAGCCGATTGGCTACCATGCACAGCTGCACCAGATTTTTCACTCTCCAGATTTATTAAAACAACCCCTATGTCTCTTCTGCATTAAATTGACTTAGCTTCCTGTCTGCACTGCACACTGTCCTGCGCGTCCTGTTCAACTTTCAGATTTCAGCACTTTCACACTTTGAATGACAATTACTCAGTCACGCAACACTATACCAAAATGAAATTTAAATTTTTTTTTACAGAGCTTCATTTGGTGATATTTAATAAGCACTGGGTTTTTTCTTTTTTGCAATATAAAAAAAAAAAAATAATATCAGCTCCCACTTGGCCGTCATACTATTATAGGCCGGGGGGAAGAGGTTAAAGAATTACAACTTCAAAAACTCACCATGGCTCTTACTAAATACCTTGAACTATCTGCTTTCCAGATAAGGGTCATTTTTGGGGTTATTTGTAGTGTCCTGACATTTTAGGGCCTCAAGAAATGAGATCGGTACATCAGAATTGATCAGTTTTCAAATATATATACCATAGTTAGTAGACAATATAACTTTCAAGCAAACAAGGCAGTCGGTACATCAGGATTGATCAATTTTCAAATACAGTATATTTACCATAGTTTATAGACTCTGTGGGGTTTATTTACTAAAGCTGGAGAGTCCAAAATCAGACTCCCTTCTGCATAGAAACCAATCAGCTTCTAACCTCAGCTTGTTCAATGAAGCTTTGGCAATGAAACCTGGAAGCTGATTGGTTTCTATGCAGAAGGGAGTCTGATTTTGGACTCTCCAGCTTTAGTAAATAAACCCCTATGCGTTTCACACAGACTAAATAATGTACACTGATATGGGTTATTTTTTTCCAGTCAATGTAGCTGTATACATTTTTGTCCAAATTTCTGAAGAATGATTATTTGCAAAATTGTATAACAGAAACAAAAAAAACCCGTTTTATTTCAAAATGTTCTGTGTTTTTTTGTTTAGTTAACAAACATAAAAAAACCAGTGACGATTAAATATCACCAAAAGAAAGCTTTATTTGTGTGAAAAAAAGATAAAAAATTTAATTTGGGTAGTGTTGCATGACTAAGTCATTGTCATTCAAAGTATAATAGTGCAGATAGCTGAAAATTGTCCTGGGCAGGAAGGGGGTGAAAGTGTCTGGTATTGAAGTGGTTAATGAAGAAATTAAATACATTTTTTCACAATTTTATTTAAACATGCTGTCACCAGAGCTGTGCATTGTAACCACATGACTGGTGTTGTGATGATCAGGGACACTGACTGGTGACAGTGTATTTTAAAAAAAACCTTACGTTTTCTAAACTTTATTTTACAATTTTTCTTTTGTAATTTTCTTTTTTCATTTCATTTTACATTCTGTGACCGGAGCAGTCACCTTAATGACACTGTACTGCTCTGGGAAGATGATCAGGATTTTATTTTTCACTCTGATTGCTTATTACAGTGGTGATCACTGTTATAAGCAATCATGTTTTATGACTGGCATCCGTTCATGTGCCATTGTGTTCAATTGTGATAGTTGTTCCTGGCCATAGTTATCACATGGTGCAGGTCTGTTGTGACTGGCCCTGTACCGTGTGATCACTGTGATCAATCACAGAGTTCACAAAAGTACATAATGAATGGATATGAATGTAAGCTATTGTGTACAACTGACATGTGATCACTGTGATTGGTCACATGGTAACAGGGCCGGCCTGGTACAACAGTCTGTCTTCCACAGTGTGCTGCTGACCCTAGGATGCACCTGAGGAACACGAGTGGGAGGACATCATATAGCATCCACCCAGGAGAATGGTACTTCTGCCCAGCCATATTATTATAATAGGCAAGACAGGAGATGTCTGGCCCCTCCTATGGGCAGCCCTCACTGGGCATAAAACCCCCTATCTGCTATAGGCCTCCAGTCAGTCACAAGCAGTGTCAAAGGAGAAACTCCATAGAGGGTTGGGTGCTGTGTTCGTCAATGAACTCAGAGAAAGGGATTTTACAGTCAGTAACCCAAAAATCCTTTCTCTTATGGTCATTGATGGACACAACATCTTCTTCTTTATCGATGACCAAAACAGAGATATCGGAAGCAGTGCCATAATGAGAGGTGGGCAAAGCAATTAATGAAGAAGAAAAACCCCAAGGCAACATGCCAACATTTCGAACTACCCCAGGGATGCCCAAGAATCCTAAACAGCCGCCCAAAAAACTTGCAGCCAAAACTAGCATCAGAAGATGCCAACACATCCACTTAATAGAACTTAGGAAATGTGTGCACAGACGACCAGATTGCCTCTTGTAAACTGGAGAAACAGACACCTGATGGCGGACGCCCAGCAGGCACAAACTGTCCTGGTGGAGTGCACCATAACAGGGAAGGGAGGTTCCCGCCCCTTAATGGCATATGCCTATGCAATCATCTGCGCAACCCAATGGAAAACAATGGAAGAAGAGGCTGCCAGGCCTGTCTTTGGACCGTCTGTGAAACACAAAGAGGAGATGTCACAGAAAGGTACACACCAATCGTGTAAACCCTGTCCAAGGAGTGCAGGGCCACTACCTTAGGGTGCAACGGCCGAGGACACAGAGTAGGAAGAACAATGTCCTTATTCAAGTGAAAATTCGATACCACCGTTGGAAAAAAAGAAGGGGAAGGTCGAAGCACTACCTTGTCTTTGTTTAAAATGATATAAGGTGGAAAACAGAATAAGGTCGCCAATTCCGAGATCTGCCACACCAATTGATGCCAATTGATAGTGACTAGAAAGGCAACCTCCTACAAGAGCATAAACAAGACAATATCCCAAATGCCCTCAAAAGGGAGGCTTCTGAAGAGCTGTCAACTCCAAAGTCAAGTCCCCTGATGGCAACGGGGACAGCACAGGAGGAACCACATGACAAAGGTCTTGAATGAAAATGCAGACCAAAGAATGTGAGTAGAGACTTGACCCTTGATCGTTCTCAAGGCAAGCTTCTGATCCATGCAAAATTGCATAAAGGCCAACACCCGTGCCACCGATAAAGAACCGGGATGAAACCCCAAGGCTTTGCACCAAACGACATAAGCACTTGTTGATAAATCTTCCAGGAGGAAGAATGACGCGCCTATAACAGACTTGGGGTCACTGAGCCAGACAACCCCATCCTTCAGAATCTGCCTGTAAATAGCCAGGTTGTTTAAGCCACAAACAATAAAGCAGGATGGAACACCAGCCCCTAAGACAGAAGGTCCTCTCAAAGAGGCAGTCACCAGGGAGCTTCTGCCACCAGCTGCATCATGGCAGAGTACTATGGATGGTGAGGCCAGACCAGAGACACAAAGAACTTTTTGGCCACCATCCTGTGCAACAGACACGGTATGAGACGGAGGGGCAGAAAGGCGATGATATTGTACTGATCTCACGGTGCCACTAGCACATCCGATGCTTCCGCCAGGAACCTGGATCCAATGGAGGAGGGGCACTAGAAAATCCACGCTCGGAGTCCCCCAGCAAAGACAGAGTTGATGGCACACTTCCGGGTGTAGGGACCACTCGCCCAGATCCAGTGTCTGACAGCTGAGAAAAGCTGCTTGCTAGTTTGACATCTGGGATGTGTACAGTGGACAGAACCGGAACAAACCTTTCCAACCATTGCCAGATGAGATGCCTCCAGTACCACTGCTGTACATCACATGCTTCCCTTACTAATAACATAAGCCACTGTTGTGGCGTTGTCAAAATGGATCCTGATCGGTAGACCCTGTAGATGATCCGGCAATATGTCCGCGACAACCTGATCACCTAAAGCTCTAGAACAATGATGAGCAGTCAGGCTTCCTCCGGAGTCCAGTGACCCTGAGCCGAGTCCGAACCCAGGCTTCCTCCCCAACCCTACAGGTTGGCATCTGTCGTGACCACAGTCCAGGGGAAAGGAGAGACTTTCCGTTTCAGCGGGCCAGACACCGCAACCTCCAGGGGAGGGTGGCCCTAGTCGACCGCTCCAGAAGAATCCAAATGTTCAAGGAAGCAGAAGACCATTTCCATTTTGATAGGATATCCTTCTGCATGTTCTCGTTTGAAACTGAGTACACAGAACCGCTTTGAAGGAAGCTGCCAGCAGCCTAAAACCTGCATGCAAAAACGCAAGGAGGGCCACCCGCAAGGAAAGAGCAGCTGGACTGCATACTGAAGTTTCCAGAGTTTGTCTGGCAGGGGAACACCTTGGCCCACTCTGAATTGAGGATCAACTAGATATTTCAAGTGTTTAGATGGGGTCAACACAGACTTCCTAAGGTTTAGAATCCACTCGGAGTCCTGGGGGTTACGCTTGGTGATCTCCACGCCATCCAACAGGGAAGAACGAGTCCCCGCACACAAGAGCATGTAGTCCAGGTAACTGAACACAGCGATCCCCCGTCATCTTAGCAAGGCCATGACTGGGGCCAAGACTGTGGCCGGGGAGCAGAGGCCAGACCAAAGCGTCTCCAATGGAAAAATGTAGGAAATGCTGATGTCCCTCTCAGACAGGAATGTGCAGGTAAGTGCCCTTTATGCCTATGAAGGCCTGAAAAATCCCCCTAGTGAAGGAAAGCCACATCTGAACAGTGTCCATCTTGGGGATTGTGAATAGATTGTAATAAAAGCCCCAGAACCGCTCTGAAAGCACCAGACAAAAGCAATCCTTGAAGGAGAGAACCTGCACAGTCCCGGACAGAGCTCCGCAGAAAAAAAGCCAAAATTCCAAGAAAAGGAAAAAAGCTGTGGGACTATAATAAGGGGAAGCAGAAAAATAAATCCATACTCCTGAAAACACTAGGCATAAAAGACTGAAGGCTTAAGGGCAGGGAGGGGTTTTTTTTTTTTTTGCCCACAGGGAATTGCCCATAGGAGGTTCTGAGTCTTTTTTCTGCCTAGTGTCCTACTCCTGTAGGTGGGGCAATAAATCCTGTTTGGTCATGGATAAAGAAGAGGCTGTGTCTGTCAATGGACATAAGAGAATTCTAAATGCTAGTTACGTCTAGCAGTGCTGAAAATAGGAGAAATACTTACCTTATTCTGCATTCCAGCAGAGTTCCTCAAGCACTGAGACAAGTGCCCTGTAGTCTCCCTTCTCTAAAGTGCTCACAGCTGCTGTGGTACTCTCACTCCCACCAAGTACAAAGTATAATAGCCCTGCATTATACAGGACAACACTGAGGGATTGCCTACAGACTGGGGTTTCAGAGAGAAGAGGGCAACGTCAAAGCCACAATAACTAATTCTTCCTGTTTCTGAAATTTTCACTACAAATGGCCACAATCCTCGCTTTCATATGAAAGAGCATCTATTGTAGAGTAAGGCACAGTCTGTATCAGACAGTTGATACACCATATTGCCAAAAGTATTGGGACGCCTGCCTTTACATGCAAATTAACTTTAATAGCATCCCAGTCTTAGTCCATAGGGTTTAATATTGAGTTGGCCCACTCTTTGCAGCTATAACAGCTTCAACTCTTCTATGAAGGCTGTCCACAAGGTTTAGGAGTGGGTCTATGGGAATGTTTTACCATTCTTCCAGAAGCACATTTATGAGGTCAGGCACTGATGTTGGACGAGAAGGCCTGGCTCGCAGTCTCCGCTCTAATTCATCCAAAAGGTATTCTATCAGGTTGAGGTCAGGACTCTGTGCTGGCCAGTCAAGTTCCTCCACCCCAAACTCGCTCATCCATGTCTTTATGGACCTTGCTTTGTGCACTGTTGCGCAGTCATGTTGTCAAGGGGCCATCCCAAACTATTCCCACAAAGTTGGGAGCATGAAATTGTCCAAAATATCTTGGTACGCTGACACCTTAAGAGTTCCCTTTACTGCAACTAAGGGGTCAAGCCTAACCCCTGAAAAACAACCCCACACCATAATCCACCCTCCACCAAAGCTTACACTTGGCACAATGTAGTCAGGCAACTACCATTCTCCTGGCAACCGCCAAACCCATACACATCCATCGGACTGCCAGAGAAGCATGGTTCGTCACTCCAAAGAACATGTCTCCACTGCTCTAGAGTCTATTGCTTTATACTACTGCATCTGGCACTTTGCATTGCACTTGGTGATGTATTGCTTGGATGCAACTGCTCGGCCAGGGAAACCCATTCCATGAAGCTCTATGCATTATTGTTGTGCTAATCTGAAGGCCACATGAAGTTTGGAGGTCTTTAGTTATTGACTCTGCAATCAGTTGGCAACTTCTGTGCACTGTGTGCTTTAGCATGCGCTCTGTCATTTTGCGTGGCCTACCACTTCATGGCTGAGCTGCTGTTGCTCCCAGTTGCTTCCACTTTGTTATAATACAACTAAAAGTTGACCGTGGAATATTTAGTAGCAAGGAAATTTGATGGATGGACTTATTGCACAGGTGGCAACCAATTATGGTACCATGCTTGAATTCAATGAGCTCCTGAGAGTGACCCATTCTTTCACGACTGTTTTTAGAAGCAGTCTGCATGCCTAGGTGCTTGATTTTATACACCTGAGGCAATGGAGGTGATTGGAACACCTGAATCCAATGATTTGGAGGACTGGCCCAATACTTTTGGAAATATAGTGTATGTCTGTCATTCTCAGGGAGATACATGTCCATCTGTGGGCACCCTAAGAATGGGAATATGAACTGAAGAGCACTAGGAAAGTTCTAATTTGGGATACAATAAGCTATAAGCTAAACATTTTTTGTAAACAAAGTGGAAGAAAAAAATCTGCCCAAATAATCGTCTGTCTACAGACATCCCAATTAATGTTATAGCCTGCTAAAATCTCAGTTATTGGTCTATAACATATAGAGGGAGATTTTCTAAAGCTGGTGCAGCTGTGCATGGTAGCCAATCAGTTTCTAACCTTAGCTTGTTCAGTTAAGCTTTGGCAATAAAATGAAACCTGAAAGCTGATTGGTTTTTATGCAGAAGTGAACCTGATTTTGCACTCTCCAGCTATTGTAAATAAACCCCATAATGTCTATGACAGCAGCTCGGCGAAGATGCTGAGATTTTCCATGGGAAGGGAGGATTGCGGCGGCCATGGCAAGGCTGGCAGACTACTTGATAGTGGTGGGCTACGACCATGAGAAGACGGGCTCTGGGCAAAATAATTCAAAGGTTTCCTATGACAGACTGGAGGGATACGCCGTTCCCACAGGGAATTGAACTGACCCAGGCACCATACCAAGAGGTGGAAGATTTCCTGTAAACAGGCAGTTCCTTCCAGCCAGCCCCTTTGAGGAAACCTCTGGTTACCTGGATCTTGTTTTTCACTGAAGTCCTGTCATCACACAGAAGGGAGGATTGCCCAAGCTGACCAGACCTTTGACCAGACCTCTGATGAGGGATTTTATACAACGATCATACCTTATTTATTTCTTGTGAGTGCGCATTTCTATCATTTACCAAGGAGCACCACCAGTACCTACTAGTTTCTACAATCACAATTCATAGACTTTATGGATGTTGTTTGAATTTATTTTTAGTTTTACATATGATTTTAGCGCTGCACTAATTTATATCACACGTTCAATATTAAGATCCCACTGGATCCTCTGCTTCCACAGATCTCTCCTGGCAATCTCAGGAAGAATCCTTTACGTTCCCACTGAGATGGATAGGTGCTCAAAAGATAAGGAACAAGGAATGCCTCAGTGTAGTAAGGCTTTATTACCATACAAATGTATGAAAATGCCACACACATAGATACAAGGTTCATAGAACCTATTACAACCATTTACGGGAAACGCAGAGTGAACACAGATGGCGGCTCCTGCACGCACCAGAAATTATGTCACAAGCTTTTGTCCACCAAGCTTGTGATGTAATTTTTGGTGCGTGCAGGGGGGCCACTGTCTGTGTTCACTCTGCTTTTCCCTTAAATGCTTGCAATAGATTTTTTTACAGCTATTAAAATCATACAGTATAGATCATATTAAAATGTATTAAAATAGAAAAAAACACCCAAAACCATAATAGTTATTCCTTACAGTAAAAGACCAGTCTTCATCTGTATTTACAAAGCAACCAAGAGAAGTATGCTAGGAAAAGGCCAGGAGCATTACATATACTGAAAGAATATTTGGTCTCTTTTACAATCCTCTACAGGCTGAACAATGCCCCTGTCCACAAATTTGAGAAAGACGTTGGCAACAAGACAACTTTACGCTTCTTTTACCCAGAATCTGCTTTTTCTGACCCTGTGTTGGACAACAATCCCGATACGCTGATGGTACTGGTGCCATTCAAGAGTCTGGACATTCAGTGGATAAAAACAATCGTAAACAATGAAATGAGGGTGTGTAACAGTGTAATATGTACTGTATTTATTACAAGTATTTATATGGTTGTGATAATTTACACAGTGCTGTACATATATTGTATATTGTACACTCACATCATACTAGGGCCATTTTAGTTAGGAGCCATTTCACCTACTAGCATGTCTTTGGAGTGTCGGAGGAAACTGGAGTATGTGAAATGCACACAAGTGCAGGAAAAAAAATGCAAACTCCATACAGACAATGTCATGGTTGGGAACCTATGTTCCTCCTTATGTGAACACATACAAATGTGTCTCTCATTCAGCACAACAAAAGCCAATCTCTAAAAATACTGCAATGCAACATATACAGGGTTTTAACGCTATCCATATTTAACTGCTAAATACTTTCACCACAGTGCTTGTCTAAAATATTTTCTTTGCTTCTGTAAATAAAGTAGGTCTAAATTCTAATTTTATCACATATAGCTTGCTTCAGCATGCTGTAATATTGCAATATACTTTTCCATCTCAGTGCTGCTGATCTACTCCAGATTTTTTCAGCCACTTGCTGTCTACATACATGCAGTTGCTCCATTGGCAGCTGCACAAACATAGCTCTGACCTAACGTCCTGATTGTGACAACAGTGGACCATGCCTGTACAATGTGTGTCAGCACTGCCACTTGTAGCTTCTACCAGGAATGAACATGACAACGTGACAACCTAGGAAAGCAAGTAAAAGACAGCCCCCCCCCTCAATAACAGGGGGAGCCTGAACAAGGAACTTCACAACAGGATCACCGGGAAATGTTTTACTGAAGGCTGAAATTTTTTTTTAAAGTATAACTAAAGGCAATACTTTTTTTCTTACTTTTGGACAGAGTGGATTAGAACCCCTGTCAGGTTTTTATTGCTGTGTGTGCCCTCATTAGGGAGATCCACCCTTTCTATTTGTCCTGTTTTATATTATCATTGAAAGTGAAAGTAAAAGAAAATCCAACATTTTGAGTTGTCCCCAGAAAAGTAAGAGGGGAAATCTTACAATGGGGACACTGGTTCTAGTGACCTGGGGGTCCCCAAGGAATTCCCTTAATTTGATTTGCAGAGTTTTCCTCTCACTTCTTGTTTGGCTATGGGACCGAAAGTGAAGGGAAATCTCTGTAATAGAACATGGATGGTGAAAAAAAATATCTGACAAGGGTTAAAACCCTCCCTTACTCCATCCAAAATGAAAAAAAAAGTTTTGCCTATAGTTCTACTTTAACATGTTTACATGAGATTGTAGTGTTTAGCTCTTTAGCTTTTAGACACATTTACACACATGCAGAACACCTACTTATAGTACTTATTAATGAACATCAAACTAACGACAAATGGGTGGGGGTGGGGACACTGGCATTGAACAGTGCAGAGTAGTTTAAAATGGACAAAACACACCCTAGTAAGTTTAGATTCTGAATAATTTTTATGAAATATATTATGGTCTAACATGAATTTTGAGCTGTTTTGAAACTCTAGGTCATTTTTCATAGATAAGAAAGGGCTTCTGGAAGAAACCTCCAATTATATGGAACGTGAAGTCTCAGAACATCCGGATCCTAAATCCCTATTTTATGAGAATTGCTGCAACAAGGCTGCTGGGAAAAAATGTGACAACAGACAAGGTTATTGCGGTATGTGGTTACAAAAATGTCAGGTTTATAGAGATGACTACAAATTTTAAAAAAAATCCACACAAACACTTACAATGGTAAGCCTGGTACACACGATAAGTTTTTTTTTTTTTAATTCAACCCAGCGGGCTGAATAGAAGAACAAAAAAAAAAAAAAAAAAACAAAACAAACTTACAGATCGCTGTACTAACACAAGCGATATTAGTGCAGCGATATCCCCACCAGAACACAACTGGTCAGCACTCGCAGCCATTGGCTGCAAGCACTGATCGGATGTCGGTTGGTTGCTGGTTTTTCCAGCATGCTCATTCGGCAGAAGCTGGTTGTGAGATCAGCTTCTGTTGGATGGGCAACTGTACACACTAACCAAAAATTGTCTGGTTTCTACTGTACAGGCTGTTTTTGCCTGATATTCCACCCATGTGTAAAAGGCTGTAAACCAAGGGTAGGCAACCTTAAAAAGGTAGAGATCTACCTGAACTACATGGAAGAAGTCAAAGATCTCCAGGCACAGTGTGGCCTTCTCACACCTGATTTAAACCTCTAATTGCTGTACTAACATATCGCAAAATATGTGAATTGCACAGCAATCAACACATTACCTTCTCACCACCTGTCAAACACACTTGGATCGCTTTTCAGAAGAACATCAGTGTCTGCTGCACTTGTGAACGAGCCCTTAGTTGCATTCGGCAGCAGCACCCTCAGGGCTCGTTCACAAGCAAAAAGTTGAGGGGTGGTAAAATCCTGTGGCTGAGTTGCAGTTTTACTGTCCCCAATCCCTACCCCATTTAGCTGCTGAGGCAGAAGCCAAGGTGTACACATGCTGCAGCAGGAATTAAACCCCCTGTCGCTTTTGGTGAGCACTACTGCCTGCCTATTGTGACCCATTCAAGTAAATAGGGCCACTCTGCAAGCGCTTCACAACTGCATGCTTTTGCGGGGTCCAAGGCATTAAAGCAGGTAGTGAGAAATTATCACAATGCTGATTGCTTTAACCCCTTGTTTTTCTGTACTGCACGATGCAGAGTGGCCTCATTCAGTTGAATAGATCATGTCTGGCAGGTGCTACACCCACCAACCATGTCAGGGTGTACAACTTCTGATGCGGCAGTGACATCTGTACATCCCTAGCCACTGCAGCTAAAGGTGGTGTGGTTGGGGCATTGGTAAAAACACATCTTAACTATGAGGTTTTACCTCTACCCCCCCCCAAACTGCAAATGTAAATGATCCTCTACTGTTCTGAGCCCCCTATAAGGTTGCTTTTACACTGAATGTATGTGCTGAAGTTTATCTGCACCATGGGTGCAGTGCAGTGCAATCTGCGACTTTTCTTGGATTTATGCACTAGGCCATAGACATCTATTGTATTGTGCAGGTGTGATGACCTTTCTGCATTCAGAAGTTTTTGTCTGCTTTCAGAAAGTGCGCCAAACCCGCAGGATATAAAAGAAGTCTATAGCTAAGCCAGCAAACACAGGAAAGCTGCAGGTATACCACAGGAAAGCTGCACCAGCGGCGTGGTTAAACTGCAGCACATCAGTGTGAAAGCAGCCCTATACTAATATGCCCAGTGTATTGCTTCCCGCTGACCTGAAGAAGATCTCTTCTTTCCTGCTGCTGGTGCCACTCTGGAGACCACTAGCCGGGATAAGAGGTGAAGTGCAGCCATCACTACAGAAGAGGCATCGGCTTATGCGGCTCTTGCTCCCTCCTACAACTCCAACTTACAAGTAGTCCCTCTGCATTGCACTCTGTTTCATGCTTTGGGATAGGGAGTCAGCAAGTCCAGACAGCAATCTACCAGTCACCTGGTCTCAATCTACTGGTAGATCTTAATCTACGAGTTGCAGACTGTTTGTACCACAGGAAAACAAAGATTCATCCACATTTCTCTTTGCGCCATTAAAATAGAGATGAATAACAAATAGGCCAGCATAAGTGGTAACGCACAGTGGATGTGCACAATGGATGAAACTGGGCATCATGAAATAACCCGATTATATCATCACAAATGAGCACATTCCCATTTGCTTTGACTGTTTTATGTAAAAGATGCATTTACATGTAGATCTGAACTCTCTAGTCAAACATTTGGACTAGTATACCGTAAGCTGATCTATGTAATATTTTCTGCTTTCCTTCCAGAAACCGACCACTGGCTTCATGGCAATCTCCTTTGCTATTCACTTCTGTGATCTGGTACACATTGCAGGCTTTGGTTACCCAGCATTTAATGATACACAGTCTGTCCACTACTACGACAAGAGTAGCGTAAATAATATGATGGTAAGCGTCCATCCATTAAGCTATAGACATAGCTATAGACAAAAAACTGAAACTTAAACTGGTATCTTGTTGAAATACACTGTGTGCACAATTATTAGGCAAGCAAGTTTTTTTGACCAAAGCATCATTTGTATACATATTGTCCAACTCCAAGCTGTATAAACTTGAATGCTTAATGGATTTAAGTATATCAGGTGATGTGTATTTGTGTAATGAGGGAGTGTGTGTCCTAAAGAGATCAACACCATATATCAAGGTGTGCATATTTATTAGTGAGATTTTTTCCTCAGCCAAAATGGGCCACAGAAGAGATTTAATGGACTCTGAAAAGTCAAAAATTGTAAAAAGTCTTTCAGGAGGATGCAGCACGCTTGAAGACCTATATGCCCTGCTGTACTATCATTACACCTGCTGGCCGCTATGTCACCACTGTGTACTGAGGAACAACAGCATATAACAGGCAGCATGGCATTTCAAACACACTAGAAGTGTCACATACCAGTGGCCCCTGTAACTCTACAAAACAGCAAATATTAGAATCATCACAGCTGAATAGGTAACTATTAGACCAGTACTTTAAGGAAGGAGCCTTCTACTAAGGAAGGAAGATTCTGGCATGGGCTATGTCCAAGATTAGACCCAGGTACTCCAGCCAGTGTGAGCACTGAAAGTTTATTACTAAGCCAAGGTTTGAATTGTCCTTTGAACTTTGGCAGCCATGTTTGTGACTGAGGACACCCTCAGTAGGAGGTTTTCCAGGTAACCTGTGACATGAATGCTTTGGGTTCGTAGAAAAACCAGAAGCAGGGCGAGCACTTTTATGAACACTCAAGACAGCCTGAATGGCAGCTATGCAAACTGAAAGTGTTAGTCTCCCATAACAAAATGCAGAAAGCTTTGATGTGAGGGGAAGGTTAGGATGTGCAGATAGGCATCTTGTATGTCTACTGATGCCAAAAACTCCCCTTGTCCCCAAGTAAGCATTTACCATCAAAAGGCATGCACAGAACATGGGTTTTACAAGCAGGTTCAGACTACCAAGCGTTCAGCTTTAAAAATATGCACAGTAGGGAAAGGGCAACAGGTGGAAATCCATGCTCTGCTGAAACAATTCTTGGACTTACATTCCAGAGATGATGCTAACATGTGTATTCCTCTACCCCTTAAGATCAATTGAGACCACAGCCATTACAGAGATTTCCCTAATCAGTGCTGCATATATTTTCAAATGTAACCCACTGTATTTGCTTCTGAGAAAAAGAAAGTATTGTTTGTATTCAACCTCCTGACTGAGGAACCCCCAGCTTGGGCCTCCCCTTATGTAAAACAATACAGCACAATTCTGAATAATTTTGAGACTTGTAACTGCGACAAATCAGGTTTTTGATGATCCCAGCCACTGTGCCATTACTGAAGCAAAGTTGCATAGTTTGTCGCAGGGCAGACCTTGAGTTCCAGGCAGGGGCGGACTGACAACTCATGGGGCCCCCGGGCAATAGGGGATCATGGGGCCCCTGTGTCCTTGCCCAAACTCAAAACCGCCTATGAAAAGGGTACCAGGGGCATCTCATGGGGCCCCCTACTGACCCTGGGCCCTTGGGCAGTGCTTGAGTTTCCAAATGGTCAGTCCGCCTCTGGTTCCAGGATGTCTGTGATAAAAAGAATACAAATCAATTACCTCCTCATTGCCTCTATAGTTGTCCCACTGAACTACTTCCATTGGCAGTCTTTGCAAAACTACACTAACGGAGGAGGGGGGGGCATATAACCGTGTCTGCATTTGTCAAAGAGACAAATGTAAAACTGTTTTTTATAACCAGATATGGGCATTTTTAGTGATTGGTTATGCCTTTTGGCCCTTGCAAAGCTCCTGCAACTTTTCAGCACATCAATGATGTTTTTTGAGATCTGTTGGACCAATCTGTGATTGCATATCTGGATGATATTCTCATCTTCTCTGATAACCTGGGAGGAGTATCACAAGCATGTTTGCAGTATTTTTGATAGATTGCGGAACCGATTTTGTATAAAACTGGAAAAATGTGAGTTTGAACAAACCCGGATCCAGTGTTTGGGATTTATTATTTCTCTAAAAGGAGGGAGCATGGCTCCCTAGAAGATCAATGTAGTGGTGGATTGGCCTGCCCCTAGAAATGTTAAGGAGATAAAACAATTTGTTGGATTCGCCAAATTCTACAGAGAATTCATAAGAAACTTCTCTAAGTTAATGGCACCAATCACTCAGATGACAAGGAAAGGAATGTCCTTGTGTGTGGTCACCTGAGGCACAGACTGCCTTTAGTAAACTAAATACGCTTTTCACTTCTGCACCAGTATTGGTGCATCCCAATCCTGAACTACCTTTTATCGTGGAAGTGCTTCAGAGTCTGCAATGGGAACTATCCTTTCACAACAAAGTGGAGAAAAGATACAGCTTCATTCTTGTGCTTACTTCTCTTGTTTAACGTCTTCAACCAAAGTCAGGAATTAGGACATTGGAAAAAAGGAGCTTCTGACATTAAGGAAGCCTTTTCTAAATCCAACTACTTCCTGTTCCATCAGGACCACGGTGGTCTATTTTTTTTTCTAACAGTTGCGTTTATTGAAATCGTACAAAAGTATAAACAAACCAAGGTACATGAGAACAGTCAAGCTCGTGGCATTCAGTAAATAAACAGTATATACAAACTTCCGATGCTGAGAATCTTACAGATTCAACCTATTATCCTGAGCAGAGTCAGCAATCACATACTTATTACAGTTCAGGTGACGCTACTCACAAGGGAAAGTTGTTGAGAAGAAAATCTCAGAGCGTGAGCCGAAAAATGAAGAGAAAAGAGTGGGAAGGGCAAGATGGGGAAGAGGGGGTAGGGGGAAGAAAAAGGGTAAAGAAGAAAGGTACGTAACACAAGCAGTAGCAAGTCAGACAAATAGTACAAACTCAACACAACCTCAAAGTGAAAACATTAGTGATTATACCATAAGGCCCTGTGCTTCTACCCACCCAGCCCATATTCTATCAAATTTAGCTGGACAATTATGACTCATATATGTAAGTTCATGCAAAGGAAGCGTACCGTTGATTGCTGACTTCCAACCCGAGATTGTGGGCAGGGTAGACAGCTTCCATCTCAACAAAATTTCTGTTCTAGCATAATAGAATACAAACTATTTGCTATGCTTAGATGCTTCCACGGGGTCAAGGATGCCTAACAACATAATCAGAGGATCCATGGGAATAGACAGTTTACCAACAGCATTAATAGTATCTAATACCCTGGTCCAGAAGGGACATAGCTTTGTACATTCCCAAAACATATGGTGAAACGTGCCTACCACCATATCACAACGAGGACATGTTGCCAATCTATCAGGATATACCGCAGCCAGACGCCACGGGTTGTAGTATAAATTTTAGTTGTATAAAGTGGTCCCTGGTTGAGATCATGGTAGGGAGGCATTGCAGAAGACAAACCTCCCAATCATCCTCCAACAGGGGACAAATGGTCTGCGTGCCATTTATCGTAAAGCGACTGCATTCTAGGGTTAAATAGAGGTAGCAACAGGTAAAGGAGAGAGGACAAAGGTTTAGGCAAGTCCTCCTATAACAACAAGTTTTCTAGAGGGTCAGTCTGGATGGCAGGGGGAGAAGGAAAGTGGATGGTGACAGCATGTCGCAATTGTAAAAACTGGAAAAACATCCAGTTAGGCAAGCTATGGTTGTGTTTGAGTTTATCAAAAGAGAGCAGGACACCCCAAGGCATAATATGGTTCAACGTTTTGATGCCATACTGAGCCAACACCACAGGATCCAGTATTATGTGCATATGGGGGTGTAGGATTGCCCCAGAGCGGCGTGTGAGGGGAGTAGGAGTTATTTACATTGTACTGAAGATTGCGCAGAATAGATGGGCTATTGAGTGATAAACAGTGGTGTCTATTGAAGACAGCAAATATTAATAAAGTGGGACAATCATATCATATAGGTGCATTAAGGTCATACACAAAAGAAAACCAATCAAAGTCCATAAATATATATCAAAATAAATGCGTCAGCTTTTCAGACCAGGAAGATACCGAACATTCTCTTAGACTTCCATCTTACAATCATATGTGCACGTGACTTCCGTGATTAGAAAGAAAAGGGGTGTGCTTGCACTCACCGGACGTAAAATGATTTTACGCATTGTAGTGAAAGGGACACTGATGGTCAACTGGAATCTGGTAGGGATGAGGCACTCCGACGGCGCTTGGTATACCAGGAACAATCTTTCGGACCACTCAAAGGACCCTCATCAATGGTAGAAACAGCTTACGGGTTTAGATCACACCTGACAATCGGTGCTTTCAGCAACAATGGGAGATCCACCTTGAAGTAGCTCAAAAAAACTAAGCCACCAGGACAAAAAAAAAAGCTGATATATAGTGTAGTAATTTATTCAGTCCAATGATGGTAGTCACATATTAAAGTAACAGGAGTAATGACAGGTGTGTAGCAACAGGTGGCAATAGCTCCAAGCAGTGAATGCAAGTAGCATAAGTTCATGTGTAATAACAGATAGCTACTGGCTGTATCTGATATGTCCAAATAACATCTCATGCATGCAGATGAAATCCTGAATCAAAATGGCTGCTGGCCAAACATGTGGCTGCAGCAGGTAGTGGTGGCCTCGGCAAAGCAGGCTGGTTTTCTGACGCATTTCGTGCGATGACACGTTGTCAAAAGGGTGACCTGCCGTTGCCGCCATCCGGTTAAATACCCCCCACGCATGCGCGAACCGGACGCCATTTTGAAAGGTCCAGTGCATGCGCGGAAACTGGCGCCATTTTCCCATAGCCTTGTGAAAGGACATGACGGGCGGCCATTTTCTTGGCGTCCCGGAAATAAATAACAATACAGTGAGGTTCATATGCTCCTCAATGGAAGCATTTTGCCAGATTGGAGAGCGCCAATCACCTGTTGGATCTACGTTTGGAGAAGAAGGGGCACAGAATTTAATGAAAAGAACCTCTGTCCAACTGTTAAGCATGGGGTTGGATCAATCATGCTTTGGGGT